AAAGCAAATACTAAAACACAATAGTATTGATAATCACCATGAGGACACTCCTGTTGGACATCTGACAAATCTTGAGATGTCAAAACTAAATTCAATGATAGAAATAATGCAAAAATTCCAAAAATAGAAAACTTAAGAAAATAACTAAAAAGGGTGAGAAATGAAGCCTGAGAAACGAAGAAAAAAAAACCCAAAAAAAAAATGAAAACAAACACTAAAAACCTTAAAGACCTGAAACCCCCTTGGAAAAAAAACCAGGAAAGGAAAAACTCTAAAAACTAAAAGAACTGAAAAATCGATAGGTGGCCGAAGTGTACACTCTATGGTTGGAGCATAACTATTAGGTACACACTCAAATAAGTAACTTATCCCTTTATATACTAGTTCAAAATATGCTGAGCCTAAGTGGCAGCACGCTTCGATGTTGACATAGTAAATTTTGTGCTTCACAATTTAGTTTGTATAAACATTAGTGTTTGGAATCATGTTTGGTATTTGACATTAATTATTTATTTGCAATTTGGATAAGTATGCATTTTTTTGTCCATTGTTCTCTTTCCCAAATCTAATCTTATTATACATATTATTGATTCTCATGTATTTCATCTATTAAATACTATATACTATATTTTATATCATAGTTTAAAAGTTAATAATTTTTTTATTTATATTGATATATTCCTTTTTCAAATATGATTTATCAAATTAATCATCTTTTGACAATCTTCGATTTGACATCCATATCACATATAATCATGTTCGTAAAGAATTTTAAAAAATTTAAAATCAACTTAGCAAAGTTGTAATAATATTTTCTTAAGACATATATAATTTTATAGATGTAATTAGAATATTTTTTTTTAACAATTTGAGGGTAAAAACGTGTCATTTATAATAGTTTTCACTCTATTAGTTATTCATTATTTGTTGTACAATTTTTGTTATACAATTTTCTTTTTCAAACACCCGTGTGGTACACGGGTGTCGTACTAGTCAAATATTATTCACAAGTTTGGAAATTTTCATTTGAAACTAACCCAAGTTTTCAAAATCCCAAAGGTTGGCATTTTAAATTTTGTGTTGTCAAATAACACCAGAATATTATATCACGTCACTAGTTAAATTTCCTCATCACATATGTAATACAAATTATGCAACCTAGAGATCATGACTAATGGTCATAACATGTAGGCACTCCTCATCTAGATTCTTTATCTAATTATCTTCCACGAAATGCACATTCATGTTTAACAGACTCCTTATCTAAGAGCTTCAGTGACTTCAATTAAAAAAAATATGAGAATGTAATGAAAGCTTTTACTTAATATTTTTTTAATTATATGGAACCAATAAACGTCTGCATGAAATGACAACTGAGGGCATGCCAAAATGTGGAAGTCTGGAAATAACGAAATGAGTACTCTCATTCGTGAATTATTATTGAATTATGAGTAAAATAAGATTCATCCAAAAAGTAATACCCAGCATAAGAATTTCTTTATCTGCTACACATAATTTAGGTATTATGAAGCATAACTGCATATCATTATCAACCATTAAAAAATATACTTTCACACAATTCAAATTGTAGTGCGCTTTATGTAACAAAGATTTTACACCTTGAATAGTACTTCAAAGTTAACTTATCCTGATCCAGGCAGAACTAGAAAGCTAGGATCTCAGCACACATTTTACGAGATTTTACTGCCACACGTAAAACTGAAGCCAGCTAGAACACATTCACATAATTAATAAAACTCAATTATCTCAAACTCAGCGACCAGAGCACTTTAGGTTTATCTTGAGCTTCAAACAAAGTGGTTTTCAATAACAACCTTTCTATCCGGAGAACCAACTAACAGGATGAGACTTTGCCATATTTGAAGCAATCACACGAAAATTACCTGTTGTAACTGTACAAGCCGGTGTGCAGGATCCTTAGCTGCTGACCTAAAGAAGATCTCTTGACCTTTTCTTTTCTTATTCAATGGGGGAGACCCAAAACCAGAAGATCCAATAGCACCTGTGATGGCAGCATTTGCTGCCTGCTGGATATGGACAATGTTATTGGCATGATCTCCATGAAAGAGAGCCTGTCTCTCTTCACTTCCTTCATAATTTTTGCAGTCCATGCATTTACAGTTCTCAGAACAAAGAATATTTGCTTGGAAGCACTCACAGTACTTCTTAAGGCATCCTGACTTCTTACAGTGACAACCTTTGTTATGCTTTCCGGAAACTAAAACTTCACTAGCATCTTCCTGCATAATTATCATAGAGTAATGACGTGTAAATATATCGTGTACGATAAATCGGATGGAAGTTTATCATTTATATTCAACGGACTGGAGATGGACAATTTGTTTCAATAAATGACTTGAAATCAAATGGACCAGATCTACTGTTTGACTTTATGCACAACATACAGAGGTTAAATGGATACCCTTAAATATTCCTCCTCTTTTCAATGGAAAAAAGTTTGCATTACTATTTCGGCAATACCAAGCAAGAGATTGTTAAGTATATGAAGGCCCGTATACGTATACCATGGGCCCATAATGCCCATATAGCCCATGAATAACGCTATATATATGATCATTCAAACCCAAGTAAGACATTCATCCAAAACCCTAGGTTTGTAACAGAGATTTGGTCATTAACATGTTTTGTGAATTTCTTCTTGGATTAAACTGTGAAAACAACAATGCCAGAATCAACATAGTGAGGTTTTCGTTTGACATCATCACCAATAACATTTCAATTAATAAAAATATTTGCAATTATCAAATGAATTTATATATCATAAAAATTAAAAAAGTAAAGTATTATTCCTCAAATATTATAGTACTTCCACTAAAAGTCTCATTTCGGAAATACCGAACATTACTTGACATGCGCAATAGGGAAGCAAATACTATCGATTTCCATCATTCTTTCATAGAGGTATAATAGAAGTAAAAGTACACAAAGAAAAGAAGGTCAAACAATCAGTTGTATTTAACTTTCTGATTAACGGGAAGGGTCAGAAGCAACATGCAGCATCTAACTGAAGAGGTATAACTCGTTAGACACCAAAAAGCCACTAAAAGGAATCACATGTAGTTAAATAGAACAGAAAAGATATGGTAATTAAGAAAGATAATAATCCCCAGCTGATACTCTATATGAAAATGCATGTAAAATGGAAATTTGAAATCACAAAGTACCCTGTGATCCTGAGCTCCATGTGGACTGCTAGCAATTTTTGGCCTAAAAGCATTTGGATTACGCTCCAGAGTAACCTCAACTGCTTCTCGTCTGGCAGCTTCATTTTCGACATTATTATGACAGTTCACACAGTTGCAACCATCACAATAGATTCCAGATGCAAAGCATTCACAGTACCTGAACATGAAATTGATTGAAAATGCATTATCCTCAATCGAGCAAAGTAGCATTAAGAAATAATATTGGTGATAAATGGGCTTAGGTAGAACTCAACCCCAAAAGCTAGCTCAAAAGAACAGGGTGTCCAATCAACACTTATACACAAAATAGCCCAGTAACTATGTGAACAAACATAACTTTAACACCCGCCCTCACGCGCAGCGTGCCAAACAAAAGGGGTCGGGTCCAAACCGAACATCGCCTCCAAACAAACAAAACATGGCTTTGGTACCATGATAAACGGGACCTGAGTACAACACATCCCCAAAAGTTAGCGCAAAGGTAGAGGGTGCGCAGCCCACACTTATACACAATAACAGCCCAATAGCTAATCAATGTGGGACAAACATAACTTCTAGCACCCACCCTCAAGCACAGCTTGCCAAACCAAATGGGTTTGGGGTCCTCCAAACAAACAAAACTGATCTGATATTGAATGGGGAAATGATATTTTAAACTACAAAGTTTGCCCCACCCTTTTAAGTCTCACATTCCTGATCTCTTCCAACTAACCCTTACTTCGTCTAAGATGCCCACCACCATCATTACCTCTAGCTTGTCAATTGTTAGGACCAACCATCCTTCCCTCCCTCCCTTAACCGTCATTCCAAATAAGGAAACAAATTATGATCCTCAGTTCCATGTTTAAATTATTCTTATATATGGTTTGAGTCAAATGGAAAAAACAAAAAATTAAAAAAAACATTACTGATTAGTTCAATTATCTATGCACATTTGTATATATTCTTGTTCCAAAAAAAACTGGTCCAAGTTTACTAAGTAATTAAATATATGGGCAGTTGGATGAATGAGGATACCATCCAATGGCAATTTGAATTCACAACAGATTCTACTCCCTCGGTTCAACTATTGTAGTTTATGGACTGAAATGTAATACTGCAAAAATGCCTACATAATCAGAGATATATGAATATGAATATATGAAATGCAGACAAAAATGAATGTTAAGATATCTAAAATGTCATTACGTATAAAATACTGTAGTCAGCAAAAAGGTCGCTACATCCAGCTCCCAACCGATCTGAAAGATCAATGTAATACTTGAAAAAAACAAAAAAAACCACAGACTGCTTTTTAGTCAATATTCAGCCCAGGAATAGGGAAGTCAAAGGATAGACTAGATTGGGTTGAAATAAACCATAGAAAATACTTATAATTATTTTGGCATTCTTCTTTGGATAATGGACGAAAAACATAACATGCTAAAGCCCAAAACGTTATATGTGCTCCTTTTCCACCCAAGGGAGAGAGGAAAGATAAATCTGGTTGGAACTAGAAAATATATTATTTTCTAGAGTAGACCACCGATAATATAATTCATATATTGAAGTTAACTGCACCTGAACTCAATGCTTCATGTGCATAATTCTATCAATAATTAGCCATAGCTTGTGTTTCAGAATATGGTTCACGAAATTCACTGGAAGAATGTGAAGAAAATGGAAATCAACAAGTTCAGTTTTAAGTTAACCCAAGAGTGAAACGTAACAACTGCTTACAGCTTCAGACAACGTGAATGCTTGCAGTTGCATTGCTTTTGCTTCTTTGGTGTACCATCTTTGACTTCATTCACACTTTGTCTAGGCCGAGTTCTTGGGGATACAGGTTTCCTGAAGAAAGCTAAGTATAAATAGCAATACAAAAGCAAAAGACTACCACTCTAAATAGTTTTGAGTGCTCAGAGCAGAATGTACTTAAGCGAGTATGCTATAAGAACAGGCACAGATCATGTATTATGTTCTCACAGGTTAGTATCAAGAAAGAAACACGTTAGATGAATATAGATTAAGTACTTGAGATTTGTGATCTAGTGTTTTCCTTTCTTTTCTTCGAATTTTATGATAAGTGAGGACTGAGTCTACTTTGTGGGAAACTAATTGGGTAAACGACAAGAATTGTATGAAAAAATTATCCTAGTATTTATAATTCTATCTTTCACTAAAGAAGGCCACAAAAACAGCTACAACTAATCTTTCACTTACCACAAAATTTCCAGCTATCAGTAACAAATAAACGAAAAGCATCATGTATGGAAGATCTAAGACAGTACTTACAATAATGCACCATCATTCTAATAATGTAGTCAACCCATCAACTGGCTTGGCCAACATATATACACATCCACAGAGCTCGTATCAAATGTATTCACTTACTTAAATCATGTCATTGAAATAGCTCACGAATTCGCTTCAGGGAAACACAAACAAATAACCAAATCACCAATTACACGGCTCAAATTCTAACATCTCGGGTACTCAAGTCCAAAACATAAGAAATTATGATGCGGATCTCTCACGGTCTCAACCCCAGTACCAGAAAAGTAAAGAACACTGGAGAGTTTCTAATATTACAAGAAAAAAAAAATCTAGTCTTGGTGTTTCTAAAATTTAAATCAAAATGTGGATGATTCTACAAGTAAATGCTCAAAAAATGATCAGTCAAAGTTATCAAAAAATTACAAACGGAATTCAGAAAGTGCTACCAGAAAAAA